GTTTTAAAAGAAAATATCAACACTGGTAACTACGGAGCTCCGAGTCTATGATTCTTCGGTTGGTGCTGACCGAGGTACCACGGTCAGCACGGTCCGTGAGGCCTTCAGACTCCACTTCCCTCGAGGCGCTGTCGAAGCTGCTGCTGGGGGAAATGTCGATCCTTCTTGTGCCGGCCGCACAATCCTGTCGATCGACAACACATTGCCCTAAACTTCTCCAGTCGATCTACGCTCCAGAGCCGGGTTGTGCGCTGGAACGTTCCCGAAAGGGGAGAGCAAAATCACTTACTCCCAACACCTTCCCCTTTTTAAAGATGCGAAGCATACCGTTATAATTAACAAGCACGACTAAATCACTGACACATAATAATCAGCAAATATTAATTAATATGAAACGAAACTAAAATAACAAAATCCTATATATCACAAGAAATTCAATAATGCGTTGAATCGGTTTTCAAGAACGTGATGAACGTCTCGGATATGAGTTTTGAATCACTGTACGTTGCTGCTGATTATCGGATGTGCTGTTGACAACTGAACGTGGATTTGTTGCTACCTCTGCAGTTCGTTGTCCTAATTCTTCGATGTCAAAGGTTCCTAACATCGTTTGCAAAGTATTGGAGTCAAGCCGATCAGAACCACTGGAGATTCTTTTCCTCAACTGATTTGCACGTTTCCTCAGGATTTCCTTTCCCATCTGAACTTCATATACCACACGACCAATTCGTCGCTTTATTATTCCATGGACCCATTTATTCTTCTGATATTTCTGAACCATGGCATAAACTGGATCCTTGACATGAAATATCCGTTCACGAGCCCCATGGTGCTTATTGAATTGTTTCTCCATACGATCATCTCTTTGTGTGGGCTCTTTCTTAAACCGCAGAAGATCTAGGAATTCTTCGACCTGAGAATAATTCTGATGGTGTAAAGTTATTTGGTAAGTTGGTATTTGGCGTACTTCGGTAAGCCATTAGAAATATCTCCAGCCTTCATCTACTGAACCTTCTCCATCCAGCTTAAGTAATGTTCTTTTGAAGGTATCTACAAATTTTTCAGCTTGACCATTTGATTGGGGATGATAAGTTGGCGCGCATGTGCTTAATACCAAAGTTCTCACAGAACGTGCTAATTCTGACGAGATAAACTTCGTGCCATTATCCGACACTGACACTTCTGGCAACCCATATTTTGCAAAAACCTGTCTTAACACTTTCATAGTCGCTTTTGCCGTTATGTCTGACGTAATAAAAATTTCTGGCCACTTGCTGTAAGCATCTACAATGACCAGAAAGTAGTGTCCTTTGTATGGACCAGCACAATCTGTATGTACTCGTGACCATGCGCGATTTGGTCTTGGTCATGAAGCTAAGACGCATTTTATTGGTGCTTTTGCTGCTTGTGCACACTTTTCACATCTTTGTACCAATTCTTCAATATCTTTTTCTATTCCTGGCCAGTAAACATGCATTCTGGCTAGCGACTTCATCCTATTAATACCAGGATGCGCATAATGTAATTGACGCAAAATTTGTGTCTTGAGTGATTCAGGAATTACCACTCTGTCAGCAAACATCAGACAATCGTCAATTTCTGACAAGGATTTTCTTCTGTTAAAAAATTGTAATTTTGCATTTCTAATTTGTTTTGGCCAACCCTTTCTCAAGTACTGCAGTACTTTCTTCAGACTCGGATCTTTGATAGTTTCTTCTTTTACCGTCTTATGTGTTACTGGAAGTGTACGAATTGCATCCACTAAAATTCTGCGGATATCAGGCTCAATTTGAATCGCCGCTATGACCTTGTCACCGTCATCTTTTGTGGTCTCTTTCATCAACCGTGACAACGCATCCGCTTGTCTGAACGCCATGGTCTGCTTGTATTCCAGTTTGAAATCATAAGCTAGTAGTATGACAGCCCATCTCTGCAACCTGTTTGCAGTATACACGGGTATTCCTTTCTTGGCGCCAAATACGGCCAACAATGGCTTATGGTCCGTTAATAACGTGAACCGTCTACCATATATCATTTTGTAAAACTTCTTAACCGCAAATATCAAAGCCAGTGCCTTCTTTTCTATCTAACTGTATTTGCGTTCTGAAGTTGACAAGGTTCTTGAAGCATGGGCTATTGCTTTTTCTCGGCCATCAGGAAACTTATGTGAAATTACGGCTCCCAGACCGTAGTCACTGGCATCTGCGGCTATGACAATATCAAGTTTTGGATCATACTGTGTCAGCAGCATATCTGATCGCAGTACATTTTTGATTTCTTTGAACGCTTGTTCACACTTTGCTGTCCAATTAAACTTGATATCTTTCCGCAGTAGCTCATCTAGTGGCGCTCTGATTTTATGCAAATTCTTTACAAATTTGCCGTAATAGTTTACCATTCCCAAGAATGATCGAAGTTGATTTACCTTCACTGGGCGTGGCATCTGTAGGATAGGCCTGATTTTTTCTGAGTCTGGTCGTATTCCATCTCTGTTTAGAACAGATCCCAGATATTTGATCTTCCCTTGTTTGAAGCTACACTTTTCGAGCCTAATATGGAATCCATATTCTCTGATGCGGTTCAGAACTGCATTCAAATTGTCATCATGCTCTTTCTCTGTTTGACCTACCACTACGACATCATCCAAGTAGGCAACAGTGCCTTTTAACCCTGCTAGC